TATAAAAAATATATAATATATTAAGATGATATGCATGTAAAACTCTTATATATTATGGCCAAAGAATAGTGTCTATGTGGGACATTTTTTGACTGTTTTGTTTTTCGGACAATAATCATAATTTGTATTCGCTATGCTTCTTACTGTTCATAGAATTTCTGTCATGTCAAGCTGCTTACGTCGCAGCCATCCAAACAGGCCATAGTCAACATGCTTTATGTGAAACATGATTATTCTTCAACATCATGGCATTTTAATCACATGGAATTTGTTTTATTCATTGATAATCATATGTGGAAAAGCACGAAGAATATGATATCAAAAGGTGAATAATAACCTGAAATGCAATTAAGTAAATTAATTAGTCTATTTGAGTAGGGCTTAAGCTAATAAAGCTAACTAAGCTGTTAACCTGAGCTATACAGTTTGATTGTCATAGAGGATAAAAGTTGTAATTAAAATAGCATTTTTTAATCAAAATAAGCTCTTTTTTTTTTTTAAAATTTAGAAGGGTCAGCCGAGCAAACCAACCCTCTACATTTCATAAATTACGTCGGCCATCTATCTTGATTAACCATACTATTCTAGTACAATGTTAAAATGAGAATGGCGTACATAGCCAACCGGCTCTTTTCAAGTGAAATAAGCTAAGACAACAGATAGTTGAATTTTGATTTAGCTCATTAGCTTAAAATAAGTAATATCGTAATTTTTAATTAGACATGATATATATTTTTAATAAAAATATTTTAAAATCTTAATTCATAAACATAATAACTCCTTTCAGTACATTAGAATTATCTTAATTAAAAATATATTAGTTAGATAATATTAGAAGCATTTTATTTTAATAGGGAACTAGATAGGGGACAAGAGAATAAATACCATGCCTGATTTTGTGAGGAGAGCTTCTAAAATATTTTCCCATTGCTTAATTACCATAGAATAATTGCTGTTATGATTTTAGCCTTTTTAATTAAAAAAATAATGGGCCAATGCCCACAGGCCCCCACTATAGTTCCACTCCTGAGAATAGGTGCATTGTTGTACAAAGATAGCCACACTCTTGAGTAAAAAAAGGTTGAAGCTAGTTATTTATGCCATAAAACAAAGTGGGGGCTAAGCAAACCAAATATAGTTGATTGGCATGATAAAAAAATCATTATTATACAAATAACAACTTGATTGGCTAAAATTATTCAATTATGGGATATGAGAGGCCAGAAGTAAACTCCTTACCAACTTGATTGACATGACAAGGAGAATGCTCAAGGAGCAAAGATTTGAAAGGAAATCGAACTTCACAAATGGATAAGAGAGTTGGTCCATAATGCTGAATAATACATTAGATAGATAACAATCATCTTTATAGCATGCTGGATTTGAAGATCATTATGAATGAAAGTAGGTGTTCAAGATAGAAAATACAATTACAAATATTGACAAATAATATGAATTTCTTATACCAACGCAGCTACATTTTTTATACTAAGGAGCATTGATTAGTATACATTCATGTTGATGAACATTATCAGATTATGAGGTACTTAATCTTAACTTCTTATATATGTTATTATTATGAGATACTCTGGGTCTATTTAAGATAGCTTTAGGCTATATTTTAAGTAATAATTATTATAAAAAAAAGACGTCTTTTAGGATATTTTATTTTTTAGACAACAATCATAACTTTTTTCGCTACTATCTCATTATTTGTCAAAAGTTTATGCGATGGAAAGTTGCTTTCTATAACTACAGTAGCGAAGTCACTTCCTTCACAGCAACTTCACAACCAATTTTATAAAATGAGATAATCGTCCCAAAAAGACCGTTAGGCTTACTGCTTCTTAAAAAAGTTTTATAGTACAAAAAAAATTAATTTTTGTACTAAAAAATTGCTTTAAGAATCAATAAGAAAATCGTTCCAAATGAAACCTTAGTCTTGATTTTATTATATATATAAATGATCTATAAGTTGGAGTATCGACTTTTCCATATAATGATCAATGTAGTACTATAACCATTGAAGTGGAGATTAGCATATCCAATACACAGATGCCCACGGGTACATTAATGCAAACTACCTAGCAAATTTATGGGAGAACAATACAAAAAGACCAAAAGAGCACATAAATATAGTCAATGCGGGCTTTGAGGCCATTACCCTCTCAATCAAACTTGTCCACAAATGCTTGATATTGAGCAAACTTCATCCTACTCTAAACTTTTATATGTTGAATATGGATTTAGAGCCAAAGTCCCCAATTCAGAAGGAGCATAACTGTAGAAACAGAGAAGAATATGGATCTTGAACAGAAAAAGATAAGAGAATAGAGAAGTTTATTATTTCTGTCATAAACCTGTGCAATAGAGATACATGTCTTTATATAGAAGTAGGTAGAAGGATTACAGGTATTGCAGCCAATAATAAGCTTCCACCTATTCCTATCGTAAAGAGTAATAAGTAACAGATTCTATGGCTGAGATTTGTTAGCTTGCTTTAATACGCCCCCGCAAATTGATGGGTCTTGGATGACCGTCAATTTGAGTCGTAGTTGATGGAAACGAGGTGTAGACAAAGATTTGATCAAGATATCTGCTACTTGGTCTATTGTACTAATTGGATGAAGTCTGATGTTGTTCTGTTGGATGTGATCCCTTAAGAATTTTTGATCAATCTCAATGTGTTTCGTGCGAGAGTGAAACATGGGATTATTGGTCAAAGCAATTGCAGACATGTTGTCGCAGTAGAGATCAGTCGGATATTCTTGTGAATACCAAAATCTGTGAGAAGTCGTCGTAACCATATAATGTCAGATGTAAGTGCTACGAGTGCCCGATATTCAGATTCCGTAGAAGATCGAGCAACGGTGCGTTGTTTCTTGATTGTTCATGATATCAGTGTGTCGCCTAAGGAGTAGTAGCCTGACGTTGATCTTCTTGTGAGAGGATCTCCAGCCCAGTCCGCTTCTGAAAAGGATTTGAGAGCCAAATTAGTTTTGGTAATATATAACCCAAATTCTAGCGTACCTTTGATGTAGCGGAATAGCCTTTTGAGCAGGTATATATGCTGAGGGAGGGGATTATGCATGTGTTGAGATAGAAGATTGACAATGTAGGATATATCCGAGTGTGTGAGTGTTAGATATTGAAGTGATCCCGTTATACGACGGTAAAGCATAGGATCGGCCAGAAACAGTTTGTCGTTGAATGTAGATCGAAGTTTTGTACACGTTGGATTCGCTAGATCATTGCACTGTGTGAGTTCCGCTTGTTGTAGAATTTGACAGACATATTTTGTTTGAGATAAGAAATACATATTGTTGATTCTTACTATCTTATTGCTGAGGAATTCGTTTGCTTGCCCAAGGTGTTTCATTGAAAATTCAGAGTTGAGCTTTTCCAGAATGTTGTGGATGCTATCTTGGTCGTTGCCAGTAATAAGGATGTCGTCGACGTATATTAGCAAGTAGATTTGGACCTGAGCTTTGCGGTATAGCAGTAGAGATGGATCCGCTTGACTGTGCGAAAATTCGAGGGACACGAGGAATGATGTGAACGTGTTATACCACTGGAGAGGAGCTTGTTTCAATCCGTATATGGCTTTGTGAAGGCAACAGACGTGGTTCGGGAGAGTGTTGTCTTCAAACCTATTCGATTGAGACATGTACACAGTTTCTGAAAACATTCAATGCAAGAATGCGTTTGCGACGTCTAACTGTTGGATTTGCCAGTCATGGTAGAGAGCAATAGTCAAGAGAATGCGTATCGTTGGTAGTTTCGCTACCAGACTTAATGTTTCGGTGTAGTCTAGACCGAATTCCTGATTATTGCCTTGGGCAACCAACCTTGCCTTATGTTTTGCCACCAACCCATCTGTGTGAAACTTAGTTCGATAAGTCCATTTGCACCCAAGGACGGACACATCTTTTGGTGGTCGAACTAGAGTCCAGGTGGCTTGCTTCTGAAGTGCAAGGAATTCGGTAGCCATTGCTTAACGCCATTCAAGCTTCTTGACATCCTCAGTATATGTTATCGGATCCACGAGAAGGTTGGTAGATGTTTGAGCATGAAGAAGATTCGGACGCTTAGTTGTTTGAGCGAACCCGTTTTGCTCCTAGTAACCATGTGATGAATGGGCAAAGTAGAAGTAGCAGGCGGCTGAGATGAGGGTAGTTGAGTTGACTGACTGTTGTGGGATGAGGCAGCAGTGCTATTAGAGTTAGGATTTTGAACAAGTGGGATGTGCGAGCTGTTTTGGTTCGATTTGTCTGCAATGCAATTGGAACTAACAGAGGTTGGAATTAGAAGAAGAGGGGACGATTCATTGAGAGTAGAATTCGAGGTGGATGGGAGATTAGAGAACGGAAACACAGTTTCATTGAACGTGACTACGTGCTGAGACATGATGATTTTGTTGGTTGATATGTCAAGACATTTGTAGTCCTTATAGGTGTCCGAGTAGCCCAAAAAAATACACGGGTGTGATTTTGGTTGAAGTTTGTGACGCGGGGTAGCGGGAATGAGTGGAAAGCATTCACGCCTGAATATTTTCAGATGACTGTAGACAGGTTTGGTGTTGTAGATGAGTTCAAGAGGAGAAAGATTGTTGCTTGAAGGAGAGAGTAATCTGCTTATAAGATAGACAGAAGTTATGACTGCATTCGGCCAGTAGGTGTATGAAACCGAGACAGTTAGAAGGAGCGTACGAGTGGTTTCAATTATATGTTGATGTTTCCTCTCCGTCAACCCATTTTGTTCGGGAGTGTAAGGACATGATAGTTGATGCAAGATGCCTTGAGAAGTGAGATAATTTTTGAAAGTAAGGTTAACGTATTCGGAGCTTCCATCAGTTCGGAAAATTTTAATCTGATGGTTTGTATATTTCTCAATATAATTTTGAAGTTAACAAAGGTGTTGAATACGTCGAATTTTTGTCGGAGAGGAAATATCCACGTGTATCTTGATTCTTGAGTAGTCGTCTACAAAAATTACATAGAATTTGTATCCTTGAGAAGATACAATGGGTGTGGGACCCCAAACGTCAGAATGAATGATAGCCATAGGTAACTGTTGGCGACTATGAGAACTTTCAAACACAATTTTATGGCAATTAGAGGCATTACAAGAACTACAATGTGTAGATTGTTTATTCATTTGGAGATGAGGATTACAATTCGAAATAAGATCTAAGATACGTTGGTGAGGTTGCCTGAGTATGTGATTTCAGGAGTTGATTGACGAACTTGAAGCGGACAGGGCTTGATGATGGTTTGAGGTAGAGCTAATCGGAAGATAGTAAAGCCCCTTCACATGGTCCTTGAAGAATGACTTTGTGAGTCTTCAAATCCTTTAGAGTGAAACCGAAAGGATCAAAGATAATTGAAATTTTATTATCTTTGGTTAGTTGCGATATAGAGAGCAAATTATAGCGAAGAGAGGGAATGTGAAAGATCTAAGATAGGTGCAGCTTACGGGATGGGGTCGGAAGGATACCGGCCCCGAAGTGAGCAATATTGACGGAACTTCCATCTCCTATAGTGATGTTATCTGATATGTGATAAGGGTTCGAGATGGCAAGGTTGTCAAGAGAGTTGATGAGATGCGAGAATGCCCCCGAGTCCAAGTACCGGTTGGCGGCCGAGTTGTCCGAGCTAGCCATTAACGCAGTATTCACGGTTCTTGGTGACGGAACATAATGAGCGTTTAATCTGTGCCAGCAAGATTGAGCCGAGTGCCCTTTCTTGTAGCAAATTTGACAGATGACCGACGTTGTAGCCGTGTTACGAGTTTGGCCCGTCACTACAGGAAAAATGCCCTAAACCGGCGGTTTTAGGACCGCCAGTAGTACCGGCGGGTTGGCCATCGGAGTTTAACGACGACTGCACCGGTGATTTTGCAAATATAAGCCGCCGGTAATGGCATCACACCGTCGGTTTATTACCGGCGGTTACCGACGGCCACCGGCGGTTCTACGGTGGACATCTGGCGGTTTAGACCGCCGGAAATACCGACGGTTAGACCGTCGGCTTTCGCTGGTTAAGTAACCGGCGGTCTACCTGCGAAGGCCGGCGGTTTTAAAAACATACGACGGCTAACTAAACCGCCGGAGACCGTCGGTAAATAGACCGCCGGTAGGCCGTCGGTCAATTAACCGACGACGTCACAGCCGGAAAACCGCCGGCATAAAATCCGGTTGAAACCGGCGGTCGGAGCCGCCGGAAAACCGCCGGCTACATAAACCGCCGGTATTAGTTTCCTACGCGATTTTTTACGGCAGCACAAAAACCGCCGTAAAGCCGCCGGTAGTTAAAAAACCTGCCGGTTAATATAGGATAACCGCCGGATTTCGGCGTTTTTCCTGTAGGACGTCGGATTTGAAGAGTTCCGTCTTCTGGACTTACAACCGCGCCCTCTGTATGTGAACAAAGAGGTAGTGGGATCACTAGTGGGTTGAGCACGAGCGACATCTGACACGAGGTTGATTTCTTCGCTAAGAAGAAGAGGGTAGAGTTGATCAAGGCTAAGAGGAGTTAGCATGGTCCTGATAGCGGTTTTGAATGATTGGTAAGATTGGGGAAGATCATTAGGAATGTGATGAATGATGTCTTCAGTGTCCACAGAAGAACCTGCCGCTGCGATTTGATCAACGACGGTTTTAATTTCCGATATATACTAAGTCATGGATTGTTTCTTGAGGGAGACTTGGTGAAGTGCATTCTTTAGATGAATGACTTTAGATCTGTTGGTGGCTTGAAATCGAGTTTCCAAGGCTGTCCAAATCTCAGTGGTAGAATCAAGAGAAATGTCGTAAGGTAATACCGAGGGGGAAATGGTGGAACAAATAGATGTTGAGAGATTTTGATCGGTGAGCATCCATTGGGAGTAGAGAGGATTGGAAGATTTTGATCCATCTTGATTCGTCAAGAGTGGAGAGGGAGAAAATGAAGTATGATCCAGGAAGTTCAAGAAGCCATTTGCCTTGAGGATTTTGTGAATCTGTGAATTCCAGATGATGTAGTTGTCAGGTGCGAGCGGACTGGTGACGAAGTTGCGGAGATTAGAAACAACAAATTTCAGAATTGCAGAATGAGAGTGTCTTCGGTAGGTTGCTGATTAGGTTGATCATCAAGCTGGGAGGAGGAAGAATCAGCCATGATTCAGGATCGAAGAGCCTTTTCTGATACCATGTAGAAACAGAGAAGAATATGGATCTTGAACAGTGAAAGATAAGAGAATAGAGTGGTTTATTATTTCTGTCATAAACCTGTACAGTAGAGATACATGTCTTTACATAGAAGTAGGTAGAAGGATTACATGTATTGCAGCCAATAATAAGCTTCCACCTATTCCTATCGTACAGAGTAATAAGTAACAGATTCTATAGCTGAGATTTGTTAGCTTGCTCTAATAATAAGGACAAAAACCAATAAATATAGAGTTAATATTTTTGCAACAACATGCCATCTTCTTTGCCATGCTTCCTTCACATAGCAGTTTTGTAATGAACTTCATATTTTCAGGAGTCTAAACTGTCATAGATTTCTGTTTTCGGTTTCTACAGTTTTGTTTATCTGTAGCTACTTGTTTGATGAAATGTCTGTGCTGAATGTGAATACCACATAGAGAATCATATTCTACACGAAGGGCGGAACCATCCTAAATTTTCAGGGGAGTAATTGGTGTTGCCTCGAATTTGGCTCAATCATTCACTACAATAAAATGAGTCAATAACGACAAAAAAAAATAGAGACAAAAAGAAAATGGTCGCTAAAGATATCTTTTAGCTATATAAAGTGACTAAGGCCTCGCAGCGCCTTAACTATATCCTTGATCGTCATATATTTCGCAGATATATCGGGGGCCCAAGGGGCAGCGCCCCCTGGTGGGGTTCGACGTTCAAATTAAAAAATAAAATGATGATTTCTCTTTATAATTTCTCTTTGTATTTAGTTCATCGTTCCCTAACA